TGTATCATTCGCCCCGCGGGGGGTCATTTTTTTTTTTCAGTAATAACCCCTTTTTTTATTTTGCCATTCGATTTAACTTTGGAAATAGATTAAAAAGTTTTTATGAAATTACCCCCTATCATTCGCCCCCCGCCGAGAAAATGACATTTTATGAGGAGGTTGGGTTACGTTTTTTTTCTAAGTTTTTGTTTTTTCATTGAAATTTTCAAAAATTTTTTTTTGCTTTTTTGGACGTTTCAGGACATTTTAAGAGGGGGTTGGGTTGCGATTTTTTTTTTTTTTTTTTTTGGAATTTTTACAAGTATTTTTTAGAATTTTTTTACGTTTTTATTCTTTTTTAGAATTTTTACAAGTTTTTTTTTACAATTTTTGCATTTTTTTTTATTTTTTAAATTTTTTTGAAATTTTTTTACAACTTGACAAATGTGACAAGATGATCGTTTTTTGGCCATAACTTTCTTATGAAGTTTGATAACCCCCTTTTTTTTTTTTTCAAAACCACTATTTTTTTACGCCCTTCAATTATATCCAAAAAAAAATTTTGTATCATTCGCCTCGCGGGGGGTCATTTTTTTTTTCAGCAATAACCCCTTTTTTTATTTTGCCATTCGATTTAACTTTGGAAATAGATTAAAAAGTTTTTATGAAATTACCCCCTATCATTCGCCCCCCGCCGAGAAAATGACATTTTATGAGGAGGTTGGGTTACGTTTTTTTTCTAAGTTTTTGTTTTTTCATTGAAATTTTCAAAATTTTTTTTTTGCTTTTTTGGACGTTTCAGGACATTTTAAGAGGGGGTTGGGTTGCGATTTTTTTTTTTTTTTTTTTTTGGAATTTTTACAAGTATTTTTTAGAATTTTTTTACGTTTTTATTCTTTTTTAGAATTTTTACAAGTTTTTTTTTTACAATTTTTGCATTTTTTTTTATTTTTTAAATTTTTTTGAAATTTTTTTACAACTTGACAAATGTGACAAGATGATCGTTTTTTGGCCATAACTTTCTTATGAAGTTTGATAACCCCCTTTTTTTTTTTTCAAAACCACTATTTTTTTACGCCCTTCAATTATATCCAAAAAAAAATTTTGTATCATTCGCCTCGCGGGGGGTCATTTTTTTTTTTCAGTAATAACCCCTTTTTTTAGTTTGCCATTCGATTTAACTTTGGAAATAGATTAAAAAGTTTTTATGAAATTACCCCCTATCATTCGCCCCCCGCCGAGAAAATGACATTTTATGAGGAGGTTGGGTTACGTTTTTTTTTTGTTTTTGTTTTTTCATTGAAATTTTCAAAAAATTTTTTTTGCTTTTTTGGACGTTTCAGGACATTTTAAGAGGGGGTTGGGTTGCGATTTTTTTTTTTTTTTTTTTGGAATTTTTACAAGTATTTTTTAGAATTTTTTTACGTTTTTATTCTTTTTTAGAATTTTTACAAGTTTTTTTTTACAATTTTTGCATTTTTTTTTATTTTTTAAATTTTTTTGAAATTTTTTTACAACTTGACAAATGTGACAAGATGATCGTTTTTTGGCCATAACTTTCTTATGAAGTTTGATAACCCCCTTTTTTTTTTTTTCAAAACCACTATTTTTTTACGCCCTTCAATTATATCCAAAAAAAAATTTTGTATCATTCGCCTCGCGGGGGGTCATTTTTTTTTTCAGCAATAACCCCTTTTTTTATTTTGCCATTCGATTTAACTTTGGAAATAGATTAAAAAGTTTTTATGAACTTACCCCCTATCATTCGCCCCCCGCCGAGAAAATGACATTTTATGAGGAGGTTGGGTTACGTTTTTTTTCAAGTTTTTGTTTTTTCATTGAAATTTTCAAAAATTTTTTTTGCTTTTTTGGACGTTTCAGGACATTTCAAGAGGGGGTTGGGTTGGTAATTTTTTCTTTTTTTTTTGAATTTTTAACAAGTTTTTTTTAGAATTTTGTTTTACGTTTTTTTTTACATTTATCATACAATTTTTAGCATTTTTGGGCATTTTATTTTGCATGTGGAGTCCGTTTTGTCCTATGGTATAATTTTCTGGGGGTCCTCAATAATAATACTGCTTTTATCGCACAAAAACGGGCACTAAGATAGATGTTGGGATTAAAGCAAACAACTTCTTGTAAAGAATATTTTAAGAAAAATTCAATAATGTCTCTACCATGCTTGTATATTTATAATCTGTGGATTTTCTCAAGGAAAAATCTTGGTCGGTTTTTAAGAAACTGAGGGAATGGTAACTAGAGGCAGTTCTTTGATGCGAATTCCAATTTAGACATCCAACCTGGATAATAGAAGTGTATTGATCAGGTTGTGTTGTACCTAGGCTGGTTATGGCCTTAAGTACTTCACCAAGGTTCCTCTCCGGTTGACTCTTCAGATATAGAGGAATACCTACCTCGGGTTGCTTTTATTCAGTGGAGAAAGTAGGGTTTATAAGAATCAGTTAGGGTTGGTGGTTTAATTTAAAATGCAAAAAGTAACTTAAACTGGTTTATTTACCAAGGTAAAAGTATGTACAAAATTATATTAGAATTATATACAGTATTTACAGTATTTACAAAAGTATCGTAGACGTTGCACACAAGGGTTCTTGCATAGCCTTTAATCAGGACAGGCAAATGTTCCAGGGCTTTTCACAGGCAACTGGCAGGCACGGGCGTAGTTTTCAGTCCTACAGAGAGACAGGGCAGATTTGCAATTGGACTCTAGTGGAAAAATACATGTTGTTAGGTTATGTTATATGCATACAGGATTTACAGTTTCATTAACTCTGCTATTAAAGCTTAATATTATACGGCTTAAAGCCCTTTGATATTAAAAACAGGTTAACTTACTGTTAATATTCCACTGAGAGTTCTCTGTGATTTAGTGGTTGGTTTTCGGGCTCACAATTGATTACACCATTTGGAACTGAGCCACCAGACGACTAATTGTCCATTGAAAAATGCAGCGGTTTTATAGACGAAATTCTGATGACAGACTTGATGAAAAACAATTGGGGCCGTGTGAAATAAATCCATCACACGGGCCGTGTGCAACAAGTGTTGACAACACATGCTGTTGACATCTGTCACAGCGCCATCTGTTAGAGTTTCGTCTAACTGCAGGTTTCTGGTAGTCCAACTCTTTCCTTGACGTCGGGTAGTTAGGAAATCGTCTCATAGATGTCGTAATGTGTATCGTTAGTAATGATTCATTACAAGGTGTATAAAAGCTATGCATAAAATACCAAACTCAATTACAATAATTCAGTCTTTTAGAGAATATAAACTTGTCCTAAGAACCTACCTGATAAACCAATGTTTTCATTCGTATAGTGATTTCGTAAAATCAACTTGATTAATCGTATTATATTTTTATCTTATTTATTATTGAATTTATTTATTCATCCATAGATTTGCAATTATACCACTTAATTATTCTTTTTATGTTTATTTTTGTTCGTTCTAAATGTTTATATTCATGCAAGTAAAGGAAACATTTTTCTTTTTCAAGTACCATATTATGTTTATGTTTATATGACAATGCTTATGTCACGTAGTGATCTTCTGGCAATAAATTATTATTATTATTATTATTATTTTGTTGATTTTTGTTAATTTTTTTGATATATGCCAATTTCGGGGATTTTTGCTCAATGGGGCGGGGGGGGGGCAATAGGGCGGGGTCGGTTGGGTTGTGTTGTTGAGTTTGGGTTGATTTGAGTTGGTTTCGCTCATTTTTGCGGTATTTTTACAATTTTTGCATTTTTTACAATTTTTTTTGTTTTTTCTTTGATTCTTTTTTTAGAACTTTTTTACAATTTTTTTTCAATTTTAAGCATTTTGTTGACTTTTGCTCATTTTTTGAATTTTTGCCAATTTCGGGGATTTTTGTTGATTTTTAGACTTTTATTTTTGCTCATTTTGTTGATTTTTACTAATTTGGGTGATTTATGAACTTTTGGAATTTTTTTAATTTAAAACTTGTAAAATTTTTGCACAAAAATGTTTTTTTTAGTAAGACAGCCTTTTTTTATTATGCTTTCGAATAGTACTTTGGATAAGGATCAAAAAGTTTCAAATGGACTCACCCCCCCAATTTGCCGTGGACCGAGAAAATCACTTTTAAAAAATTATAAAATCCCGGCGCATCCGCCATTTTTGCAATTGAAAAATTTAATCAGTCAGGGTTGGTGGTTAAATTTAAAATGCAAAAATAACTTAAACTCGTTTATTTACCAAATGTTCCAGTTCTTTGCACAGGCAACTGGCATGCACGGGCATGTTTTTTATCTAGTAGATTTGCAATTGGGTTCTAAATTTAATATTTTTTTCTTCTTTTATTTGTTTTTTGGATTTATTTCAGTGGGAATTCAATGAGTTTAGGAGAATTCAATGAACATTTTTATGATATAATAATAATAATACACTTTATTTGACAAAACAGTTTACATTTACAAGATTTACAACAATATTAAAAAAATATAATATATTATAAAAACACACAAAAACGACTAGCAACATAAAAAAAGAAAAAAGTTATACATAGGTATAATAAAAGGTAATTTTGTTGGGGAATTTTAAAGACACCCTTTTCCACACCACCAACAGAGGTAGGGTCAGTGGCGCGTGTTTTTTAACGAGGTTTCCCCAGTAGGCCTAATCCTCGAACTAAACAAAGGGAAATTGTCATATATTATACCACCAGTTAAGTAACACAAGTGCTAAAATTTTCTCGTTTGCATTTTATACGAGTTTTTGATTTGGATGGAAAATTTTACAAGACCACGAGCCGCAAGTGGGGAAAATTTTATCACCAGTGTTTCTTTTATCGATGATACTTATCTTTACGATGATTGTCTTCATGGTCGCCTTCTCCGTGTTTGTGGTCCCCTGGGGCTTCTTGACTAAAAATGAATGAGAAAGAAAACGTGAAGTAAGTACTCGGAAGTAATCTTAATCTTATTTTATAAAAATAATAAATTAACAAAGTACAATATGTATGAAGAAAATACTTACCTCTACGTTTTCTTGGATTCATATTTTTCAATTAACGCGCCGACTTTCTCCTTTAGAAAGTCGCGATTAATTGAAAATTTATCCATTTTGCCAAAAATCTGGAAAATTTTAGAACGTAGAGCCTCAGCCGTTCTGCATTGATGAATACGATGTTCTTTCTTCAGACGGTCGAGCAGAAACATCGAAAACTTCCGACTTTTCCAGGGTTCCATTTTTTCCGGAGGATTGTCCAGCAAAAAAAGTAGCTCCCTGAAAATCTCGTCGATTTCCTGGTCGCTCCATTTTGGATTTTGCTGGACTGGACCTATAAAAACCAATATAATAATTATTTTGTAAACCAAGAGAGAATGTAAAGAAATAAAGGTAGAAACCAAGGGTAACGAGCGAAGTTTTCCCACAGGAATTATGATCAATTAATATTAAATGAATCGTATTTATTATAATATAACTATAAAAACCCTTTTTCGTACTTCTTTGTACGTTACGCGGGAGCGCAAACAAATTGGCAGAAACTCACCGACAATCCGGTCATTGCTGTCTTCGCTGACATCGGTGACTTCGCTGACATCGCTGACATCGCTGACAAGGCTGAGATGGCCGTCTTCGCTGTCTTCGCTGTCATCGGTGTCTTCGCTGTCATCCCAGTGTTCGCTATCTTCGCTGTGTTCGCTTTCTTCGCTCTCTTCGCTGCCTTCGCCGCCTTCGCCGTCTTCGCTGACCACCCTGTATTCGGTGTCTTCGTTGACATAGCTGTCGTCACTGTCGTCTATGATATCCATGTCAACGTTGTCATTTCTGACATTGCTGACAGAAATATCACTCTCGGACTCGATGCTTTCGCACCGAGACCTAAGAGCGTTTGTCGACAGCGGCGGCAGCGGTATCAGCGGAGAAGCCGGCCTGTGGACCATGGTTTCCGCGACGTGAACCGGCAGGGGCGGCGATGGCGGCGGAGAAGCCGGCCTGTGGATCATGATTTCTGCGACGTGAACCGGCAGGGGCGGCGATGGCGGCGGTAACAGCTGAGGGATTTCTAAAATAAACAAAGAACACAGTTTTATGGCAAAGCCGCAGAAAAAGTTGAATATTTGAAATGGAGATATATCGTACGCACCTTCACCTTGATACGATCGTTTACGACCCGTTCCCTTGGATGACACTGGAATCAAAATAAAAAAGTTAAGGATTGAAAAGGCATACACACACATATTCCCAAATAGCATTTGTGTATTACGATACGAACCTACAGGTTTTTTCTTCAAAGAATTGGAAATTTTATAGACAATTTTTGGGTCGGTGACGCCGAATCGTCGGAGGAGTTGTCTGTCTCGGTATACGGTGAGAGCGCGATTCATCAACGAATTGGTGGACCTGCGACCGGTCAAATCGTTGAATCGAGGCTCCCGCCGCATATCCTCCCAAACGTCCAAGCCCTTGACCGGTCTCTCCAGCGTTGCGGGGCGAAGGGCGTACTCCATGAGAAGTTCATTTTCCCATTGCTGATAGGCACCGAGGTTCTTCGGAGCAGTCGCAGCACCGGGACGCTCGGGTGTAGCAGCAACGGGACGCTCGAGTGGCGCAGCAACAGCAGTAGCAACAGCAGCAGCAGTGTTCGACCTTTCCTTCGAAAAACCCAACCCGGTCTTCCTTCTGCATTTCGCGAGATGTAGCTCGTTGTTGATGGCGGATGAATTCAGGTCACGCGGGCATTCGGACGCCTCTTGCCAGTCGTCAGGTGACCTGTCGAAAATCGTCTGCCACTGGGGCAGTGCGGGGTCTCGCTCAGTTCCTGTAAGCAGAAACCGGGGATACACCTGGACGTGTTGTTGGACCAAGCTCACCAGTTTCTCCTTAAAGGTGGCATTATTCCTCCACGTGAAGCGCAGCTGCATTGCGCACAGCACCAACTTCCCAAAGGTCGTGTTGGGGTGGAGGAACGACTTGACGACGTCCTTGGCCGTTACGAAGCCGGAGAGTTTCACGGATCCTTCCTTGAAAGAGGAGCGGGGAGAAAACGGCGCCGTCTCGGTAAGTACTACCTCGCGATTGGAAAGTTTGCCCTTGAACCTGCTGGCGTAGGTGGCATGAACGCACGTCAAGAACCAGAAAATCGATGTTGTTTGGTCGCTCGCCCTCACCCGCTCGCTCCAGGCTACGTCAAACACCTGCATGCATTCGAAAATGAGGTGCACATACGGTTGGTACGCAGTGTGAACCCGCAAGGCAAGTTTGACGGAGCCCTTTGCCAAGTTGGAGTGCGATACGGCCTCTGGATATGTCTCAAACTTCGGTGGCGTCTCCGTTTCCACTCCCTGCTCCTCTTCTCTCCGTTGCTCGTGTAGATGGGCGAAGGCCTTTTTGTAGCCCCCATTTCCTGAAATCATCCCCTTGAACCATTGGTAGTCCATCTTGTGTCGCGACAGGAAACCGCCGTGGGTGAACATCAAGGCCCTCTGGATAGCTCCGTAGACCACGAGAATTTTATCCACTTTCCCGGTGTCGAGGGGAAAGCCGTCGTGAACCTCTTCCGTAGAGGCTCGCAGGATCTGGGCTCTTCTTTCCTGCTCGGCCAATCTCCTGGCTTTCCGGATTTGCAGCACGCTGCCGCTGAATCGCCGCTGCTCCTGCTGTTCTTGTTGAGCTTCAAGGTTGGAGAAGGTCGCCTCGTCGCTCCTCTCTTCCATAGTGTCCAGGGCACCTTGGATGAGGGTTGCGTCCATCTCGATGCCGGAGAGCGCCACGTGTTCCTTCCATTGACGAGGAGAGAAACGCACGATCATTCTTTCTTCCACCAGAAAGTCCAAAAATCGGCGTTTTTTCTCCTCGAAAGCGGCGTTGGATGGGTAGGCCTCCTTGAAGGACGCAAAGCTTTCAAACTTCTCCACCACCTCAATCCTCAGCGGCGCTCCCCCTTGCATCGCCTGGATGACGTTGGTCAAGGCGCGTAGGTACGTTCGGGTCTCCTCTCCTACTTTTCTTAGATCTTTCGGCATCTGCAATCCGTTCCTTCTAAAACAGTTACAAATTAACAAAGACCCGACGCAGACGAATGAACGGAGTTTTAAAAGATGAATAATTAAATTGTACGACTGAATATACAAAACTGTTGTAAACTTGGCCAGGCGGACGGCTCCGTAGCAGTGCCCGTATTTCGATAAGAAATACGGGTTCGTCGTCGAGAGGGTCTTCATTTCTTCGTGATGCCGTATTCTTCGAAGGTCCAGGACGAGTGCGCTGCGGTCGTCGGTGGCAATGTTGGTTGCAGTGTGAATCTCTATGGATTCGACGTCCGGTGACTCCAAGTCCGAAATGACGGTCTTCAAAATGCTTTCGATTGTATCGAAAGATCTGCTTTTGAGACCGTGCATTGCGACGAAGTACCGGACGTTCCTGCACTTCAACACATTGCCGCCGAGCATCGTTTGGTCCACGGACTTGGCAATGGCCGGCCAATCGTTCTTGTAGATGGATATGCTTCTGTCGGATGGCATGTCTGGCAGGTGGGCGCCGTGCGCGCGCGTCACGCTGTTGACAGGCAGAAGCTTGATGGCCGGTTGCAGCACTCGGATTACGAAGTTTTTTCGAATCGAGGCCAGGTCCGTGTCGATGCTCATCTGGAAAATACAATAAATGTACATTCCATTCGCGCAGCCGATCTTAAACTCGTGCCATTGCCCTCCGAAAAGGCTGTTGGCGACGAGCTTCGTCTGTGTCGTAGGTTGCCCTTTTATTCCGCGCATGTCCATGGTGAGCCTGTCACCAATGTCGACAGCTGAAAGGCTGCCGAACAAGACAAGCACGGAATCCACGTCGTTTTTGTGGTGCAGGGGGGTTTCGATCAGTGGCGACGGGCGAAACCCTGACTCGTCGTCTTCTTCTTCCACCTGTAAATTTAAATATAAATATAGATATACACAAACACAAGTTTTAAATTAAAATAAAAGTTATTAAAGAAAATATGACAAAAATGTAAACCTACAAAAACAATTTAAAATCTTTAATAACTTTTTAGTTTATCAACTGATTTCTAAATACAATACGTGAAATCGATCTCTATTGTATCTAAATTACAAAAAACTGTTTAACACGTTTTTACCTGAAACAAAGGAAAGTCTTGTTGTTCGCTCATCGCGTCATCCTGTTGCGGCGTAGGAGAATCAGGTGTCAGAGCCACTCGGCTGCCACTCGGCCGCTGCTGCTGGTCTTGCGGGCTGCGAATCTCATGAAACTCATCTCGCAAAAAAGGCCGGTCGCCCGAGCCGTATTTGACGAGAGGAAATTGCAAGGGGAAACAGCCAAGGATGTCCTCCAGCCTGAAAAATTCTCCTTCCTGACGAAAGAGAAAAGAAACATTTGAAAAAAAGTGGCAATCAACAATAATAAACATTATTTTAAATTAAAAAAATCCTCTATTACAAAAAAAACTAAACATTAAATTAAATTTAAGAAAATAAACGTAAACGTGAAATATACTGTCCGTTTTGTTTTTGTTGCAAAATTGATTAAATGTACTTGCTTCTAAATTAAAATTTTCTATTTTTTGTGTATACATCCAGTTTTATTTTTTTTTAATACCTGTATATGGGTATTTTCAAAAAATTAAAACTGCAATATTACAAAATTTTGTTAGCTTCGTAAACTGATACAATTACATAATTTTGAAAAAATTACATATTACATGCATGGAAGTAAAATACATTTCATATGTATAAAATTTACACAAACGTGTAAATATATATTACATTTGTCATGTACATTTTAAACAATTATGAATTATTTACAAATTTTGTGTAAACATAAATCACATATTTTATGTAAAAAAACATAGATATGTTTAAGTTACACAATCTATGTAATTTCACATCAGTTAAGTAAAAATTTGGAAATTTTCAAAAAAATTGACATTTGCATTTTTTCGTATTACCCTTTGAATAAAATGTAAGAAATTAAAAAGTCAATTTTTCCGGAAATTTTAAAACCCCAATTGTGTGCAACTTACGTGCGAACGAGGAACAATAAGTATTCCAACTTCGTGGTTTCGAATGGCAAGTGCTTTTTTTCCGTATCCCCACGCAGCCTTGCTCAAGTTCGCCGACGTGTGGAGAAGCCACGGCACGTTCTTGCCATTTTGCGAGACGCAAAAGTACGTCTTCATGTGTGGCATCATACGCGTCAACTCACTTGAGCTCGTGATCCAACGGCTGCGAAAAAAAAATTGATATAAAAAAACCTTGCGGGTCCACACCTCTTGTCTTTACTAACCATAAATACTCCTGAAGCCAAGGTTGTCGCTTGTTCTCGGCCACGGAGTACGACAAGCAACTGCCGCTTTTTTCGCTGCCGTCAACCGCTGCTTCGAAGCTGGCATCGCGTTCTTTCATCGTCGGGTAGACAATCGACATCGAATCGACGACTTCCTCGGAGAAAGCCGAAAGGAACTCACTGAAAAGCCACTTGTCGGCAGTTTCTCCGAGGGAGCCTATCGATGACGTTTGCGCCACCAACTTCCATTCCAGCGCGGGATTCAGGGCCGTTGCGTGTTCTTTCAGCACTTCAGCCATTTTCCCAAGTCCAAATTTCTTCATGTCCTGTCCTCGGTGACTTCCTGGAAAAGATGGTATCAAAAAAGCGTCTACGTTGTTAAAATTCCTCTTTTTTAAGGCGTCGATCCATGACGTCAGACAATCCTGCTTGTAGAGTCCAAGAAAATGCACCAAATCCGCCTTGAAGTTGGTGCGGGAATCGTCGTCTTCGTCGTCTTCGTCGGTTGGGTTGACCATCGGCAAAAGAGGGGACATCCAGGTTCTGTAAAGTAAAGAGTGAATCACAAAAATTATTTTAAAAAAATTAAACACAACTTTTTTGTCCCCAGCATTTTTTTTCTCCATCTTGTTTAATTAAATTCGGTTATCAGCTTCTGAACATAATTTTTCCTTTATTTAATTTTCAATGAAAAGCCCTAAATCTTCTAAGATCGAGAATTTTGAAAATATAAAACATTTTAAATAGATAGCATAGGAAAATTAACATGAGGAATGGATGATGGCAATGTTTTTTCCTAAGAAGGCATCTTAAAGAATTTGTAATTTTCAATGAAAAGCCCTAAATCTTCTAATATCAATTCAAATTAAATTGGCGCAATTTATAATTTATCATAATTTATCGACAATTTTAAAATTTGATTATCATTTTAAATATTTTTATATTTTAATAAAATGAATAATAAAAATTTCCTAAAATCGCATAATAATAAAGAGATGGATACCACTACATAATAAAAAGAATACTCATTTTTGTTATTTTTAATTTTTAACGAATCACAATATTAGGAGAAATTTTAATAAATCTTAATTTAACTTAAAAGTTGTCATCGTTATCGTCGAGAAAAACCGAACACCCAATATAAATTAAAATATAATTTTAAAAAAATCAATAGGGTTTATACAACAATTGATAATTTAGTGGACAATTCATTTCATAACTCAATTGTTAATTTAATGCATAATTTAATACATAAAAGGTACAAAACTTTAAAATCTGGTTTATACAACTCATTAATTTAGTAAACTTTTATGCTTATGCACTAAATTGTGAATTATGAAATAAATTAATGATATGAAGTTGTATAAACATTTTTTACCTTTGCATCACGCTACCGTCCCAATCGCTGCAGCAAAGGTTTCCGCTAGGCAGGACGACACGCATTTCTCCCGATGCGTACTCCAAAATTGTCATTTTCGCATGGTGAACTATGCCAAATTTGGAGTGCCTTGAGCGGATCGACACGAGATCGATTTTGCTCCTGTCAACGTTTGAAGTTTCGGTAAAGATTCCGGCCAAAATCGTCATGCGATCGTCCTGCTTCGCAGGATTGGGTTGGGTTGGGTTGGGAAATAGGCTGGGGTGGTTCAGGTAAGGTATGTTGAAACTTGGAATCTAGAGTAATTTGAGGATGCTGAATCGATTTTTGTGGTCGAGGGGGTTCCATCCCCCCCCCAAGACCCCCTTTACTGATGAGTTTTTTTCGTTTTTTGGCCATAACTTCCTTATATGCCTGGATATGGGGTTTTTTTATTCTTTCAATCGTTTTTATTTCTTTAGCTCTTCAATTTGATCCCCACAAACCTTCTCTATCATTTGGGCATCGAGTGGTAATTTTTTTTTTCCCTGGATATGGGGTTTTTTTATTGCTTCATTCGATAGTACTTTTAAAAAGGATGAAAAAATGTTTTCACGACCTACCCTCTATCATTTGGCCCCGAGTGAAAAATTGATTTTTAATTTTTTTTTTGAAATTTTATCGACCTTGTTTTTTTACGGTCTGAGATCTAAAAGTTTTTATTGCACAAAGCTATAGCCTTGCCTGTCGTTTACAACTTTGTTCTCCTTGTAAAATATCGTATATGGTTGCATTTTTGACTTTTGCGGGATTTTATGAAAATCATTTTTTTCTTTTTAATTTTTTTTTGAAATTTCTTCCAAGTTGTTTTTTTACGGTCTGAGTTCTAAAACTTTTTATTGCACAAAGCTATAGCCTTGCCTGTCGTTTACAACTTTGTTCTCTTTGTAAAATATCGTATATAGTTGCATTTTTGACTTTTGCGGAATTTTATGAAAATGATTTTTCGTTTTTAATTTTTTTTTTGAAATTTCATCGACCTTGTTTTTTTACGGTCTGAAATCTAAAACTTTTTATTGCACAAAGCGATAGCCTTGCCTGTCGTTTACTACTTTGTTCTCTTTGTAAAATATCGTATATAGTTGCATTTTTGACTTTTGCGGAATTTTATGAAAATAATTGTTTTTTTTAAATTTTTTTACAAGTTTTTTTTTCCTTGAATTTTTCACAATTTTTTTTTTGCATTTTTGGGCGTTTCAGGACATTTCCTGAGGGGGTTAGGTTAGGTTAGGTTGCAACCCAACCCTAACTTTTTTGTTTGTTGTCTAAACATAGCGATGTTGGTACTCATTTAACGTGATTTTTTGCGTAGATTAAGAAGGTATTAATAAAAATACGATTTACATTAAAATAAAAAAAATAATAATAACCTAACCCAACCCAACCCTAACTTTTTTGTTTGTTGTCTAAACATAGCGATGTTGGTACTCATTTTACGTGATTTTTTGCGTAGATTAAGAAGGTACTAATAAAAATACGATTTACATTAAAATAAAAAAAATAATTTTGAAATGCCAAATAATAACATTTTTTGTTGTGCATGTTGTAGAACGTGCCGAATCCATTTGTTTGATACCCCACAAGCCTATGTTCCTCATACGTTTAAGGGTAGTTTTGCACGTGTTTAAGTTTTGCGATGTTCATGTTCAACTTTTTTGTTTGTTCTCTAAACATAGCGTTGTTGGTACTCATTTTACGTGATTTTTTGCGTAGATTACGATTTTTGCAAGTATTTTTTTTTACCATTTTTTTTTGCATAATTTGGCAATTTTTGCCTATTTTTTAGTTGGGTTTGCTCATATTTTAGTTGGGTTTTTTGCTCAATGGGGCGGGGGGGGCCCAATGGGGCGGGGTCGGTCGGGTTGTGTTGTTGGGTTTGGGTTGATTTGGGTTGTTTTCGCTCATTTTTGCGGCATTTTTACAATTTTTGTTTTACAATTTTTTTTGTCTTTTTTTGAATTTTTGACAAGTTTTTTTTGCATTTTTTCATTTTTGGCCATTTTGTTGTTGATTTTTGCTAATTTCGGTGTATTTTTGTTGGGTTTGCTCATATTTTAGTTGGGTTTGCTCATATTTTAGTTGGGTTTTTTGCTCAATGGGGCGGGGGGGGGGCCCAATGGGGCGGGGTCGGTCGGGTTGTGTTGTTGAGTTTGGGTTGATTTGGGTTGTTTTCGCTCATTTTTGCGGCATTTTTACAATTTTTGCATTTTTTACAATTTTTTTTGTCTTTTTTTGCATTTTTTCATTTTTGGCCATTTTGTTGTTGATTTTTGCTAATTTCGGTGATTTTTTGTTGATTTTGCTCAATTTAGATTTTCGTTGGGTTTTCCTTTAATTTTTGCTCATTTCAGTTGGGTTTTTGCTCATTTTAGTTGGTTCAATGGGGCGGGAGGGGGCCAATGGGGCGGGGGTCGGTAGGGTTGTGTTGTTGAGTTTGGCTCATTTTTGCGGTATTTTATCAATATCCATTTTTTTTCAACTTTTTTTTTGCTTTTTCAATTTTTTTAAAAAATTTTACAAGTTTTTTTGCATTTTTTTTTTGCATTTTTGGCCATTCTGTTGCTAATTTTGTTGATTTTTGCTCATTTTGTTGATTTTTGCTCATTTCGGGGATTTTTGTCATCATTTTTTGTTGATATTAGTTACGTTTCCCTCATTTATTTTATCCACATCACATTTTTTTCAAGTTTTGTTACAATTTGTTTTGTGATGGGTTGGGTTGGGTTGGGTTGGGTTGGGTTGGGAAATAGGCTGGGGTGGTTCAGGTAAGGTATGTTGAAACTTGGAATCTAGAGTAATTTGAGGATGCTGAATCGATTTTTGTGGTCGAGGGGGTTCCATCCCCCCCCCAAGACCCCCTTTACTGATGAGTTTTTTTCGTTTTTTGGCCATAACTTCCTTATATGCCTGGATATGGGGTTTTTTTATTCTTTCAATCGTTTTTATTTCTTTAGCTCTTCAATTTGATCCCCACAAACCTTCTCTATCATTTGGGCATCGAGTGGTAATTTTTTTTTTCCCTGGATATGGGGTTTTTTTATTGCTTCATTCGATAGTACTTTTAAAAAGGATGAAAAAATGTTTTCACGACCTACCCTCTATCATTTGGCCCCGAGTGAAAAATTGATTTTTAATTTTTTTTTTGAAATTTTATCGACCTTGTTTTTTTACGGTCTGAGATCTAAAAGTTTTTATTGCACAAAGCTATAGCCTTGCCTGTCGTTTACAACTTTGTTCTCCTTGTAAAATATCGTATATGGTTGCATTTTTGACTTTTGCGGGATTTTATGAAAATCATTTTTTTCTTTTTAATTTTTTTTTGAAATTTCTTCCAAGTTGTTTTTTTACGGTCTGAGTTCTAAAACTTTTTATTGCACAAAGCTATAGCCTTGCCTGTCGTTTACAACTTTGTTCTCTTTGTAAAATATCGTATATAGTTGCATTTTTGACTTTTGCGGAATTTTATGAAAATGATTTTTCGTTTTTAATTTTTTTTTTGAAATTTCATCGACCTTGTTTTTTTACGGTCTGAAATCTAAAACTTTTTATTGCACAAAGCGATAGCCTTGCCTGTCGTTTACTACTTTGTTCTCTTTGTAAAATATCGTATATAGTTGCATTTTTGACTTTTGCGGAATTTTATGAAAATAATTGTTTGTTGGGTTGGGTTGGGTTGGGTTGGGTTGGGTTGGGTTGGGTTGGGTTGGGTTGGGTTGGGTTGGGTTGGGTTGGGTTGGGTTGGGTTGGGTTGGGTTGGGTTGGGTTGGGAAATAGGCTGGGGTGGTTCAGGTAAGGTATGTTGAAACTTGGAATCTAGAGTAATTTGAGGATGCTGAATCGATTTTTGTGGTCGAGGGGGTTCCATCCCCCCCCCAAGACCCCCTTTACTGATGAGTTTTTTTCGTTTTTTGGCCATAACTTCCTTATATGCCTGGATATGGGGTTTTTTTATTCTTTCAATCGTTTTTCACATATCAGAGTGCGTTTAATTTTTTTTTGAAATTTCTTCCAAGTTGTTTTTTTACGGTCTGAGTTCTAAAACTTTTTATTGCACAAAGCTATAGCCTTGCCTGTCGTTTACAACTTTGTTCTCTTTGTAAAATATCGTATATAGTTGCATTTTTGACATTTGGCCCCGAGTGAAAAATTGATTTTTAATTTTTTTTTTGAAATTTTATCGACCTTGTTTTTTTACGGTCTGAGATCTAAAAGTTTTTATTGCACAAAGCTATAGCCTTGCCTGTCGTTTACAACTTTGTTCTCCTTGTAAAATATCGTATATGGTTGCATTTTTGACTTTTGCGGGATTTTATGAAAATCATTTTTTTCTTTTTAATTTTTTTTTGAAATTTCTTCCAAGTTGTTTTTTTACGGTCTGAGTTCTAAAACTTTTTATTGCACAAAGCTATAGCCTTGCCTGTCGTTTACAACTTTGTTCTCTTTGTAAAATATCGTATATAGTTGCATTTTTGACTTTTGCGGAATTTTATGAAAATGATTTTTCGTTTTTAATTTTTTTTTTGAAATTTCATCGACCTTGTTTTTTTACGGTCTGAAATCTAAAACTTTTTATTGCACAAAGCGATAGCCTTGCCTGTCGTTTACTACTTTGTTCTCTTTGTAAAATATCGTATATAGTTGCATTTTTGACTTTTGCGGAATTTGTTTTGAAAATAATTGTTTTTTTTAAATTTTTTTACAAGTTTTTTTTTCCTTGAATTTTTCACAATTTTTTTTTTGCATTTTTGGGCGTTTCAGGACATTTCCTGAGGGGGTTAGGTTAGGTTAGGTTGCAACCCAACCCTAACTTTTTTGTTTGTTGTCTAAACATAGCGATGTTGGTACTCATTTAACGTGATTTTTTGCGTAGATTAAGAAGGTATTAATAAAAATACGATTTACATTAAAATAAAAAAAATAATAATAACCTAACCCAACCCAACCCTAACTTTTTTGTTTGTTGTCTAAACATAGCGATGTTGGTACTCATTTTACGTGATTTTTTGCGTAGATTAAGAAGGTACTAATAAAAATACGATTTACATTAAAATAAAAAAAATAATTTTGAAATGCCAAATAATAACATTTTTTGTTGTGCATGTTGTAGAACGTGCCGAATCCATTTGTTTGATACCCCACAAGCCTATGTTCCTCATACGTTTAAGGGTAGTTTTGCACGTTTAAGTTTTGCGATGTTCATGTTCAACTTTTTTGTTTGTTCTCTAAACATAGCGTTGTTGGTACTCATTTTACGTGATTTTTTGCGTAGATTAAGAAGGTATTAATAAAAATACGATTTACATTAAAATAAAAAAAATAATAGTAACCTAACCCAACCCAACCTTAACTTTTTTGTTTGTTGTCTAAACATAGCGATGTTGGTACTCATTTTACGTGATTTTTTGCGCAGATTACGAAGATATTAATAAATCAATACGATTTTTACAAGTTTTCTTTTTTTACAATTTTTTCATATTTTGACAATTTTCAAGTATAAATATACACTATAAAAAAATTTAATATGACACCCTTTTCCACACCACCAACAGAGGTAGGGTCAGTGGCGCGTTTTTTTTAACGAGGTTTCCCCAGTAGGCCTAATCCTCAAACTAAACAAAGAGAGATATAGTCGTATACCGTTATACCAATAGTAGGTATCAAGTGGACCAAATACCACAAGTATTAAAATTTTCCCGAAAAATTGTTTGAATTTAATACGCGACTTTTTAGTCGAGTTTGAGTCGATAGTCGGGAAAATTTTTTTATCACTAGTGAGAGATTTTATATATTATTTATACTTATCTTTTATCGATGATCCTCCTCGTCGTCGTCGTCGTCGTCGTCGTCGTCGTCGTCTTTAGGGCCTTCCTCGACTAAAAAACGTATTAAATTAACATTAAGCCCAATATGTATAAAAAAATACTCACCTCTACGTTTTCTTGGAATTATACTTTTCAATTAACGCGCCGACTTTCTCCTCTAGAAAGTCGCGATTAATTAAAAAATTTTCCGTTTCGCCAAAAATGTGGAAAAGTTTTGAACGCAGAGCCTGTGCCGATCTACATTGAAGAATTCGATGTTCATTCTTCAGACGATCGACCAGGAATATCGAAAAATTTCGACTCTTCCAGGGTCCCACCACTTTTTCCGGAGGATTATCCAACAAAAAAAGTAGGTCTTTGAGAATCTCGTCGATTTCCTGGTCGCTCCATCTTGGATTTTGCTTGGGCGACATCAGCGGAGAAGCAGCCGCCGCCACTGTTGCCGCCGCCGCCGCGGCTGGCCTGTGGACCATGGCTTCCACGATGTGAACCTCACCGACATTACTATCGCTCTCACTATCGGACTCGATGCGATTGCGCCGCCGATTCTTAGTTCGTGGGATTTCTGAAATAAACAAAGGAGACACTGGAGTTTCATGGCAAGCGCGCACAAATGGCGATACATCATCATACGTACCTGCTGCAGCTGCTGTCGTCGCTGCACCTTCGCGCGATCGCTTACGACCGACTCCCTTGGATAACACTGAAATCAAAACGAAAAAAGTTAAGGATTGAATAGGCACACACACACACACGAGACGAACCTTTAGGGCCTTTTTTCAAAGAATTGTAAATGGCTTTAAAAGTTTTCGGGTCGGTGACGCCGAATCTTCGAAGGAGTTGCCTGTCCCGGTACACGACGAGAGCGCGATTCATCAACGATTGGCTGGACCTGCGACCGGTCAAATCGTCGAATCGTTGCTCCTTCCGCATATCCTTCCAAACGTCCAAGCCCTTGACCTGCCTCTCTAGCGTTTTAGGACGAAGGGCGTACTCCATGAGAAGGTCAATTTCCCATTGCTGAAAGGCGCCGCCGCCGCCGCCGCCGCCGCCGGTATTCTCCGGAACAGTCGTAGCTGCAGGAGTGGCGGCAGCAGCAGTAGCAGTAGCAGCAGTAGCAGTAGACGTAGCGGCGGTGTTCGGCCTTTTCTTTGAAAAACCTATCCCGGTTTTCCTTCTGTATTCCGCGAGACGGAGCTCACTGTTTGTGGCAGATGAGTTTAGGTCGCGCGGGCATTCGGACGCCTCTTTCCAGCTTTCAGTTGACCTCCTATCGAAAACTGTCTGCCATTGAGGTAGTTTACGATCTAGCTCGGATCCTGTAACAAGAAAGCGAGGATACACTTGGAAGTGTAGTTGAACTAAGCTCACCAGTTCACTTTCAAAGGTCGAATTATTTCTCCAGGTGAAGGGCAGCTGCATCGCGCACAGGACGAGCTTCCCAAAGGTCGTCTTGGGCTCGAGGAATGACTGGACGATGTCCTTGGCCGTTACGAACCCGGAGTGTTTCACGGATCCTTTCTTGAAGGAGGAGCAGGGAGAAAACGGCGCCGTCTCGGTAAGTACTACCTCGCGATTGGAAAGTTTGCCCTTGAACCTGCTGGCGTAGGTGGCGTGAACGCATGTCAAAAACCAGAAAATTGTTCGGACTTGGTCGCTAGACCTGTCCCGCCGCCGCGAGCTCCAGGCCTCGTCAAAGGCTTGCATGCATTCAAAAATGAGGTTCACGTACGGTCGGTATGTTACGTGAACGTGCAATGCAAATTTGACAAAGCCCTTTGCTACGTTGGCGTGCGATACAACATCTGGAAATTGTTTAAAAATCGGTGGAGTCGCCGCCGCCGCCGCTCCCTCCTCCTCCTCCTCCTCCTCTTCTCCTCCTCCTCTCCGCCGCCGCCGCCGCCGCCGTTGCCGTTCGCGATCGTGAAGATAGGCGAAGGCCTTCTTGAAGCTCGCTGTCCCTGAAATCATACCTGTTAACCAATTGTAATCCATTTTATGTCTGACCAGGAAACTGCCGTGAGTGAACATCAGAGCCCTTTGGACGGCTCCGTAAACAAGGAGAATTTCGTCCACTCTCCCTGTGTCGAGTGGGAACCCTTTGTGAACCTCTTGAGTAGAGGCTCGCAGGATCTGGGCTCTGCTTTCCTTCTCGGCTAATCTCCTATACTCCCTGATTTGCAGCACGCTGCCGTCGAATCCTTGCTGCTGCTGCTGCCTCGCTGCTGCCTCTTCAAGGCGGGAAAATGTCGTCTCGTCGCTCCTGGCTTCCATCTCATCGAGCGCAGCTTCGATGTGGGTCGCGTCCATCTCGATGCCGGTGAGCGCCACGTGCTCCGACCATTGTCGAGGAGAGAAACGCACGATTATTCGTTCTTCAACGAGAAAATCCAAGAATCGACGTTTCTCTTTCTCGAATGCGGCTTCGGACGGGTAGGCCTTCTTGAAAGACGCAAAGTTTTTAAACTTTTCCACTACCTCTATCCTCAGCGGCGCTCCTCTTTGCATCGCCTCGATGACGTTCGTCAAAGCGCGCAGGTAAGTATACGTTTCCACTCCAATTTTTTCGAGGATTGTCGGCATCTTCAGTCCATTTCTCCTAAAAAAATTACAAATTAAAAATGATCCGACGCAGACGTACGACCGAAGTTTTATCAAATGTATAATAAGGTTGTACGTCTGAATGTATAAAATATAACAAAATTTGGCGAGGCGGACATCGCCGTAGCAATGTCCGTATCTCGTCAAAAAATACGGGTTGGTCGTAGATAAATCCTTGAGCTCAGCGTGTCTACGAAGTCTTCGGAGGTCCAGGACGAGCGCGCTGCCGTCGTCGGTGGATATCGTCGTTGCCGTGTGAACCTCAATGGATTCGACGTCCGAGGAGGAGGAGGAGGTGGAGGACTCCGGCTCCAAAATGACGGTCCGCAGAATTTTCTCGATTGTTTGAAAGGAAGAGCTTTTAAGACCGTGCAGAGCGACAAAGTACCGGACGTTCCGGCACTTTAACACATTGCCGCCGATGCCGATGCCTCGCATCGTTTCGTCCACGGCCTTGGCAACGGTCAGCCAATCCTTCCTATAAATCGAAATGCTTCTATGGGACGGCATTTCTGGCAGGTGGGCGCCGTGCGCGCGGGTCACGCTGTTGATAGGCAGACGTTTGATGGCCGGTCGCAGCACTTGTAGAATGAATTTCTTCCGAATCGTCGTCAGGTCCGTGTCGACGCTCATCTGAAAAATACAAAACAAATATATGCCGTTTGTGCAGCCAATCTTAAACTCGTGCCATTTTCCTGCAAATAAACTGTTGGCTACGAGCTTCGCCTGTTTGGTCGGTTCTCCCCCGATGCCGCGCATGTCGATTGTTAGTCGGTCACCGACGTCGACGGCCGAAAGGCTGCCGAACAACACCAAGATGGAATCGACGTCGTTTTTGTGGTGCGGCGGGGTTTCGATGAGTGCCGACGGGCGGAATCCGGAGTCGTCGTCGTCGTCGTCGTCTTCCTGAAACAAAAAAAATTCTTCGTTGCGTTCGGGGGGGGGGTCCTGGTCCTGGTCCTGGTCCTGGTCCTGGTCCTGGTCATGTCCATCATCATCATCAACATCATCTCGGCTGCCACTTGGCTGTGGCTGCTCCTGCTGCTGCTCGTTTTTCCTGCTGCTGCTGCTGCTGCTGCTTCTTAAAGAGAAACTTACCTGTAATCCATCTCGCAAAAAAGGCCGGTCGCCCGAGCCGTATTTTGTGAGAGGAAATCGCAAAGGCAAGCAGCCAACAATGTCCTTCAACCTAAAAAAGTCTCGTTGTGAATGTGAGAGGGATTGTGTGCTACTTACGTGCAAAAGAGGAACGATAAGCACTCCAATTTCGTAATTATTGATGGCAAGTGTCCTTTTGCCAAATCCCCACGCAGCCTTACTCAAATTCGCCGACGTGTGCAGAAACCACGGCAAGTGCTTATTATTTTGCGAGATGCAAAAATAGCTCTTCGCGTGCGGCATCATTCGCGTCAGCTCACTTGAGCTCATGATCCAACGACTGTGAACAAAAAAAAAATTGATATAAAAACACACACACACACACACACACACACTCACAAACACTCACCATAAATGCTCCCAGAGCCACGGTTGTCGGTTGTTCTCGGCTACGGAATAGGACAGGCAACTGCCGATTTTTCCTCTGTTGTTTTCCGCCGCTTCAAAACTGGCTGCGCGATCTTCCTTCGTCGGGTATACAATAGACAGCGAAGTAGCAGCAAATCCTCCTCCTCCTGCTCCCCCAGAGAAAGCCGACAGAAACTCGCTTAAGAGCCAGTTGTCGGCTGTTTCTCCCAGGGAACCAATCGAAGATGTTTGAGCTACCAAGTTCCATTGCATCGCGGCGGGATTCAGGGCCGTCGTCGTCGTCGTCGTCGTTGCGTGTTCTTTCAGCGCTTTCGATATTTTTCCAAGCCCAAATTTGCTTATATCTTCTCCTCGGTGGCTACCTGGAAAAGATGGTATTAATACAGCGTCGTCTAGGTTTCTAAAATCTCTCTGTTTCAACTCGACAATCCAGGATTTAAGGCCGTCTTGCTTGTAGAGCGCAAGAAAATCAAGCAAATCCGCCTTAAATCCGGTATGCGAGTCGTGATGGACGTCGTCGTCGTCGTAGTTTATTAATTCGGGCGTCGGGAGAAGAGGCGACATCCAGGTTCTGAAAAATAATAATAATAATATTTAAAGAAAATTACACAACAAAGTATCGTCGATTTTTTTTGTTGTTACCTTTGCATCACGGTACCGTCCCAATCGTTGCGGCAAAGGTTTCCGCTTGGCAGAACGACGCGCATTTCTCCCGACGCGTATTCTAAAATTGTCATCTTCGCATGGTGGATGCGACCATATTTGGAATGCCGCGCGCGGATCGATAGAAGATCGATTTTTTTCTTGTCGACGTTCGACGACGACGTCTCTGTATACTTACCTGCCAACACTGTCATTCGTTCGTCCTGGTTCGCAATTTGGTATTGCGAAACGAGCCAGGGAACGTCGACTAAGTATTGTATGTGTAGCGAACGGACTATTCTTCCGAACCTTCGATGAAGGATGTCTACAAAGTCCATATTCGGCGCCGCCCCCGCTGCCGCCTCGTCTCCATGGCCGCCACACCTGGAGAGAAAGAAGCCTCGCAGCCCTGTTGTTGCCATCTTTGTAGTTTGAAAAAAAAAATAAAATTAAAATAGGTACGAACATTATATACTAAAAACTAAACTTCATAAACGCTTTTAAATTAATTAAGGGTTTACTCTAACGCCATATCAGTGTGTACACCTAATATTTCAATTTACATTTAAATTATTTAATTCAAAGTTATAATTATAATTTAGAGATTTAAGTAGAGATGTAAGTAAACAGTAAACAGTAAACAGTTAATTTAACAATATTATTTATAACTTGATTAAATAATTTAAATCTACAAAATAAAGAATTTGATAATATAATAACGTAAAATAATTTGTAAAAATGATATTATAATGCTTATCCACGGCGTTTTAACAACAACAAAAATTTACATTTACATTACATTTTTACAAACAGAATATAAGAAAAAAAATAACTTACCTTTTAAACAGCAATGCTTCTTGGAACGATGATGAAAATACACGAGAAAGGAGTCGTCGAAAAACAACACCAACACTGTATCGTAGTCGCAGAAAAAAAAACACTGGGAAATCTCAAAACACTATCTCGAAAAACAGCTCACAGAAAATTCACAGAGTTAATGAGTTGTAATAAGGAATTAAGTCGCCTTATAAGGGATTTGCCGGAAAAATCCAGGCGTACGAGTATACCTCTCAAGCAGTGGCGGCGCCCCCCTCCTTGATTGACGATTTGACGATTTTTTTTCCATTACTATTGCTAATTAATATGACTTAAAAACGTACACACACACACACACACACACACACACACAACTATAAACAAACTTGAAGTGACTTATAATCAATTTTGATGCCTTGATGTTTGTTTTTGAGAGACATAATACGATGTGCATGTTTAGGGGAGAAAATTTTAAATTTCATCTGCTGTATGGGTCCAAATTTAATGAGGAGACTAGAACGACTATTAAGGGCCTTAATAATATAAGAAATTTATTCGTGTACCAAGCAAAAAAAAATTAAAATTGAATGTTTTGAAGATACTTTTTAAAATTTTACATTGGTTTATTATTTATTTGGTGATATTAGCATTGATCGCACTCGGTGTATTACGGTGTATTAGTATTTTATGGCGCGCGCGAGCGCTCCCGCCCGCCCCCCCCATAAATATACTTACATAAAAATGCATATTAATAGAAAATTATAAACCGAATATTAAGCCACATTATAACTTAAAAGTCATTTAATGAATGCAGGCCTCTTACGCCTTACGCCTCCTCGTATACGTATACTAAAATACAAATAGGTAATTTACCATACCAATCGAGCACATATGTATGTACATTGTATATGTATTTTTTACGTTTATATTGCAAATTATAATTTTTTTTCATAAATTCAGGGTCTTTATTTTGATTTTGATTGTGCTTGGAAGTATTTATAATTTAATATAAAAAAATAACGTGCAAGAATATTTTGAATAAAAACTCAAATTGTGTTGTTGGTGGTAGGTGGTAGGTAATTGTAATTGTATTTAAATTTATATTTTAATAAAATAAATAATGTGTTCCTATTATAAATAAAGTAAAATACTTTTAATTCCATCCGCCAATGTTGAAGTATTTTTTACCTTAATTTATTTTCAAAGGTAAATTTGAAGTTTGCATAGATAAGATAATCCCCATTGTGGAAAAACACAACAACTATATATATATATACCTATTGGATTATGGATTATGTTATATTATTTAAAATAAGTATGAATTTTTTGATGTCAATAAAAATTTACATTAAAATAAAATAAAATAGCAACATCTTGTAGAACGTGCCAAATCCGTTTGTTTGATACCCCTCAAGCCTATGTTCCTCACATGTTTAAGGGTAGTTTTGCACGTTTAAGTTTAGCGATCTTCATTTGTTCAACTTGTTTGTTTGTTGTCTAAACATAGCGATGTTGGTACTCATTTTACGTGATTTTTTGCGTAGATTAAGAAGGTGTTAATAAAAATACGTTTTTTTATTGCTTCATTCGATAGTACTTTTAAAAAGGATGAAAAAATGTTTTCACGACCTACCCTCTATCATTTAGCCCCGAGTGAAAAATTGATTTTTAATTTTTTTTTTGAAATTTAGATCTAAAAGTTTTGATTGCACAAAGCTATAGCCTTGCCTGTCGTTTACAACTTTGTTCTCCTTGTAAAATATCGTATATGGTTGCATTTTTGACTTTTGCGGGATTTTATGAAAATCATTTTTTTCTTTTTAATTTTTTTTTGAAATTTCTTCCAAGTTGTCTGTTTTTACTGTCTGAGTTCTAAAACTTTTTATTGCACAAAGCTATAGCCTTGCCTGTCGTTTACAACTTTGTTCTCCTTGTAAAATATCGTATATAGTTGCATTTTTGACTTTTGCGGAATTTTATGAAAATGATTTTTCGTTTTTAATTTTTTTTTTGAAATTTCATCGACCTTGTTTTTTTACGGTCTGAAATCTAAAACTTTTTATTGCACAAAGCGATAGCCTTGCCTGTCGTTTACTACTTTGTTCTCTTTGTAAAATATCGTATATAGTTGCATTTTTTACTTTTGTGGGATTTTATGAAAATAATTTATCGTTTTTAATTTTTTTTTGAAATTTCTTCCAAGTTGTCTGTTTTTACTGTCTGAGTTCTAAAACTTTTTATTGCACAAAGCTATAGCCTTGCCTGTCGTTTACAACTTTGTTCTCCTTGTAAAATATCGTATATAGTTGCATTTTTTACTTTTGCGGAATTTTATGAAAATGATTTTTCGTTTTTAATTTTTTTTTTGAAATTTCATCGACCTTGTTTTTTTACGATCTGAAATCTAAAACTTTTTATTGCACAAAGCGATAGCCTTGCCTGTCGTTTACTACTTTGTTCTCTTTGTAAAATATCGTATATAGTTGCATTTTTTACTTTTGCGGGATTTGTTCTGAAAATAATTGTTTTTTTAAAATTTTTTTACAAGTTTTTTTTTCCTTGCATTTTTCACAATTTTTTTTTTGCATTTTTGGGCGTTTCAGGACATTTCCTGAGGGGGTTAGGTTAGGTTAGGTTGCAACCCAACCCTAACTTTTTTGTTTGTTGTCTAAACATAGCGATGTTGGTACTCATTTTACGTGATTTTTTGCGTAGATTAAGAAGGTATTAATAAAAATACGATTTACATTAAAATAAAAAAAATAATTTTGAAATGCCAAATAATAACATTTTTTGTTGTGCATCTTGTAGAACGTGCCAAATCCATTTGTTTGATACCCCACAAGCCTATGTTCCTCATACGTTTAAGGGTAGTTTTGCACGTTTAAGTTTTGCGATGTTCATGTTCAACTTTTTTGTTTGTTCTCTAAACATAGCGTTGTTGGTCTACTCATTTTACGTGATTTTTTGCGTAGATTAAGAAGGTATTAATAAAAATACGATTTACATTAAAATAAAAAAAAATAATAATAACCTAACCCAACCCAACCCTAACTTTTTTGTTTGTTGTCTAAACATAGCGATGTTGGTACTCATTTTACGTGATTTTTTGCGTAGATTGCGAAGAAATTAAAAAAAATACGATTTACATTAAAATAAAATAAAATAATTTTGAAATGCCAAATGATAATATTTTTTTTATCGTGCATCTTGTAGAACGTGGAAAATCTGTTTGTTTGATACCCCACAAGCCAATGTTCCTCACATGTTTAAGGGTAGTTTTGCACTTTTAAGTTTAGCGATCTTCATTTGTTCAACTTTTTTGTTTGTTGTCTAAACATAGCGATGTTGGTACTCATTTTACGTGATTTTTTGCGTAGATTACGAAGAAATTAAAAAAAAATACGATTTACATTAAAATAAAATAAAATAATTTTGAAATTCCAAATGATTATATTTTTTTATCGTGCATCTTGTAGAACGTGGAAAATCTGTTTGTTTGATACCCCACAAGCCTATGTTCCTCACATGTTTAAGGGTAGTTTTGCACGTTTAAGTTTAGCGATCTTCATTTGTTCAACTTTTTTGTTTGTTGTCTAAACATAGCGATGTTGGTACTCATTTTACGTGATTTTTTGCGTAGATTACGAATATATTAAATTATAAAATAAATAAATTAATTTTGAAATGCCAAATGATAACATTTTTTTATGCACACAAAAAAACCACCTAGCCTCCTACAAACCTATAAAAAAAAAAAGAAAAAATTATATATACATATAAGTAGAATTTTAAAAAGACACCCTTTTCCACACCACCAACAGAGGTAGGGCGTAGTGGCGCGTTTTTTTTTAACGAGGTTTCCCCAATAGGCCTAATCCTCAAACTAAACAATATATTATATTATACGTACCACATTAGTATTAAATTTTATATATTATTTATACTTACCTCGTCGTCGTCGTCGTCTTCTTCACTTCACTTCACTTCACTTCACTTCACTTCACTATAAACACAAATCAAACAATTTAATAGCCTTATCGGCGTCGACGTAGTGAACTACTATGCTACGCCTCAGTCTTGCTAGGGCCGTGGCAAGCCGACAGACCGAAACGACGGCCCTGGGATTAAACGAGGGGTTCTTCTTCTTTAGCTTCACATACCACTCTGAAATTAACTCGTTTACCTCTGGCTGCATTATCGGCTGCACCTCGCGGCATTCTCTAATGGCGGCTCTTAGTTCATCCATAGTTAGAGGAGGGGTGGCTTGTTCCCCATGGTGTCGCCTTACAGCCAACTTGGCATAATCTGATGGCATGTCCTCTTTCATAATCAAGTCGAAGCGACTTGAAAATGCCTCACCCCTCCTTTCCCGAAAGTTCCCACGGGATGCAGCCAGTATTGATACGGTGGTTTTCCTGTTTAAACACAGGCTCGCCTTATTAAGGGTCACTCTGTTGGATTCCATCGGCTCCAGCAACCCGGTCAGGACCTCCTCCCTCATGTTGTGGCAGTCGTCTACGGCCACCGTGCCATTTGTCCAAAGTGTGCCCGGGTAAATGGAACCATCCGGTCCTGAACAACCGAGCAGCCCGGCGATGGTCGTCAATGGTCCGTTCACGTAACTGTTCTCGTTCTCGAAGAGCTCGGATGCCGTTACAAGCAACGAAGACTTGCCCGATGCAACTTCATCTTCGAACATAATGTTAATGTTGCCCCGGCATACGAGCCCCGAGGCGCCATAAACTGCGTTTCCGCCAACTGCTTGCAGCAGTATGGCCAGCTTCCTCAATTTGTTGCCGAATACGTGGGGTGCTAGGGACGCTACCAACATGTTGATGTTATAATTTGGCAGCGCCAAGTCCGGGATCCTCTTTACTCTTTCCATGTGATAGGCTTCGTACGTATACTTGCCATTTACCTTTTGGTCTCTCGTTAAAAACGTCCCGTACACCTCAACTTCTTCGTTAAGGTTACCTACGAATGAATTCTTATTCATTCTCATCGTCACATTGGTAAGGCAGGCGACATTGGTAGTCGGTCGCATCTTGAAAGTAATTACTCTTTCGAATCTCGAGTATCTTGTTTTTACTTCCATCGGCTTGTACGAGCATCTTGCATCCACACAGGCCATGAAGTATCTGCACGAGGTGGTCATCACCTTTTTCGAATAAATCGCGCCGCATAATTCGCACATGGTGGTTATGACCTT